CACAACGCACTCATATGCGCACTTCGTGTCGCTCTCCCGGCATGAGGATGATCTCCAGCGGCCACCTGGTGCTCGGCATCCATTTCGGCTCCCCCCCTTCTGCAGTCATCAGCAGATACCCCCATTCCTGTAGCTGCTCTTCCTTGTCCAGATGCATTCTCTCCGCCAGGCTCTTGCCAATGAGCACATGGTGCGCTCCAGAGTCTATGATCGCCACTTCCACCGCTATACCCCCCACCGATATGGCTCGCTGCTCAACGACCAGCACCGTCGACTCGCAGACCAGCCTCTCGTGCGGGTAGCGATAGGCTCCCTCCTGCAGCTCGAGCTCGACCTCTACCGCCACCTTCATCTCCTGCTCTCGTCGTCTCGGGCCTCGTGGCCTGAAAGTTGAGTTGCCAGCTGGCCCGGCTGCCCTCACCATGAGTGCAAAGGAGGCTTCTCGAACTCTTCTTTCCAGGCCAGGTGCGCGGCATTGGGCTCCTCCCCCGCGTCCAGTATCTATAGCCTCTTCTGGATCTGCAGCAGCTGCTCATTCAACTCAGCCCTCAGGTTCCCTTTCTGCTTGCCCTGCCGTTTGGCGAAACACTCTGTCTCCGCGTGTCCCTTTTTGCCACAGAAAGTGCATGATGGGATGGATGGGCATTTATGCTTGAGATGCCCCTCTTCTCCACACCGGTCGCATGTGGGTTTTTGCGGGCAGTCTCGCTGGATGTGCCCCATTTCTCCACAGCGGTGACAACGCCGTCGGTTGGACCAGGGCGCTGGTTCTCGGGTCCCCGCCTTCGTTCTCTCTATCTCCGCCTGTGGGACTTCCTTTTCTGGTGATGCGACCCATGCCCCCTTCTTCTTCTCCATGGCCCGGGCCTCCATCCACTCCACCTTGTAGAAGTGATTACCCAACTCGTATGTCTGCGCCAGCTCGAAGGCGTCCTAGAGCGTCGCCTTCCAGCCGAGTTCAAAAATCTTCCCCTTGATTTCATACACGAGGGATTTGTCCCAGTGCTCCGAGGAATTTCGCGATCAGCCTCCGCTGGTCGTGATGTCCCAGATCCTCCGCCAACTCCTACAGACGCGCATGACAGCTCAGCAATGACTCCCCACGCCGACGCTTGAAGTGCTCATACTCCTGCATTTTCTCGGACATTCGCACGGGGAACTGATCCTTCAATTGCTCCACGAAGGCATCCACTAGTTCCCTCCCCATCGCAGGATGCGAATCCCAAATTGCCTATGAACCTGCCTTGACCGATCGGTACATCCGCTCACCCGTGAGCGTCGAGGGCAACCACGAAGGAAATCTTCGCCCGAGTATCCCTCTTTCCTCCAACGATAACGCACGTTGTCCAACTGCATCAGGTTATTTCGTAACTCTGCTCCTTCCTTGACCGTGCCCGAGAAATGATCCAGCACCTTCATTACGGGAGCAGTCCCTGGCTTCAGCACTTCACCTCTCGCCTTCCCTGTATGCTGGACAAATCCCCGTCGCTGGCTCGACGCACCCCCATTGGTCCGCCCACCGGCTGCTCCTCATGAGCACGTCGCGACATCGGCTCCAGCGTCGCTCCACCTCTCTGGGTCGCGAAGCCGCTCGTTGTATGTGCTGCCCCCCCCCCCCCCCTCAGACGCACTCGTGTAGTCCCCATGACTACTGCGTCTTGGCGGCGCCTGATACATGCGAGCTCCCTACGCCTCCGACTCGTTGCGCACCGACCAACTCCCGTCATCGCCGTCGAGCCATGATCTCCATGAGGGTGAGGCGGCTCAACCGCCGTATGAGTTCGCACGCTGATAGTTGTTCCCTAAGAGCAACGGCATTCTCGCTGCCACGATTTCTCGATTGTTTGTTAAAAATCCCAATGCCCCACGCTAGATCTCCTAACTGGTCGTGATAGGCATGCCTAGTCAACTTGCACTTATACGGCACTTGTCTGGTTTAACAAGTAGTTTTTATCAAGTAGCAAGACACAAACGATCGATTTGAGCTCATCTAGGCTGGGGCTACCACTATGTACAAGAGAGATCTAGCCTAGCCAAGCAAGCCAGCGAGCAGGTGGCCCTTCGGATTCCCAACCTCCCTGCTCAACAAGCACACTATTTACAAGCATACCAAGCATGCACGCCATTCCTGTACAAGCATAGATCCATGCAAGGTGTTGCCCCTCCCTATCATCCCCACCTACATGCTGCCCCCCCCCCCACGTCATGTCGTCACTCCCGTCCTTTCCCATTCCTCCAATCTCAGGTGCACCAACTGGCTTCTGGTATCATCTCAACCTCCCATGGTACTCATTATACCCAAACGACCCTGTGCAATGTGACACCGCCCTCCCCCAATCTGTCGCCAACTTATAAGTGCATTGCATTTACAATTTTGCGACAGAGGCGAACTCACCTCCACGGTCGGAGTGTAGACGAAGCCCAGGCTGGGCGTGGTGGACTCAGTCAACTTCAACCCACGGGATAAGAACGTCATGCACGTCGGTCTTCCGCTCCAGGGGAAACACCGTGGTGTAGCGAGAGTAGTCATCAACGAGAACCAGGAACTAGCGCTCGCAGCGCTGCCCAGGGACCGGGGCTGGGCCCCAGACATACAGTGGTGGGGGAAAACGAGGAGTGAGGAGCAGTGCGCTGGTGCCCCTCGACGCAAGGCGTGCATGGAGGCGTGGGCGAGGGAGGGAGGGCAGGGAGCGACGCAGGGAGACCTTAAGACAAGACCGTACTGTGACATGCGACGGAGACGCGGGAGTGCGGGGTGACCTAGACAGTGGTGCCATAGTAACGACTGGTGAGTGAGCAACCGACAAGAGCAAGCCGCAGCAATGTGCATAGACGCAGCCACCTGGGGGGACATGGTGTGCAGCGTGAACAGGCCAGACACAGGGTCCCGACAAAACGTGGTGATGGGAGCACCAGAGAAGGCCTCTTTACCGACTGCGTACCGCTCGTGTCCAGGAAATGTAGTGGTGGCGCCGAGGTACTGAAGACGGCCTACACCAACCAGGTTCCTGGAAAATAAGGGGATGTGCAAAACTGTAAGAGCGCTAGAGGGAACTGGCTGACATGGAAGTATGGTGGAGTTGTGTGCGACTACCGGACTGAAGAAGGGGTCGGCAAGAGAGACTGCTACGAGTGAAGGAAGCGGTGTGAGAGTGGTGTGGTCGCAAAAGAAGCAGGCGGGTGCACCAGAGTCCCGCGTGAACTAGTGCACAGCGGTAGCGTCGGCCAGTGGGGGCGCAAGTGTGGAACCAAGGCTACACAAGACAAGAGGTCCGACACTAGGCAAAGCATGGGAGCCTAGACCAGACATCCAGCTGCCAGGGTCGCCTCCGCGACCATCACCACCGAAGCCGCCTCGCCCCCATGACAGCAGGGGCCCCCACTGCTGCTGTTGCTGTTGCTGCTGCTGCTCCTACTGCTGTTGCTGATCCCCTAGGGCGTCAACCCTCACCCCCTCATCCGCACCCCCAGCACTCCCACCATCCCCACCACCCTCACCACTCCTAGCACCCTTCCCCCCCTTCCCCACGCCCCCCTTTGGGGCGACAGGGCCTCTTGCCTGATAAGGCTGTATTGAGGCCGCCGCAGCGGTGTAAACGACAATGGTTGTCTTAGCGACAGTTGCGGAAATGTTGGAGTAAATGCACCGGGAGGGAGCACAACCCTGGAAGATAGGGACCGCCGCATTACCGCTAGGCTGAGTAATAGTGTGCTGACGGGTCTCTATCGTCGACTGGGTGGCGGCAAAGTCGTCAAGGGTGAGGTTAGCGGCGCGTTTTCAAAGGAAGGTGTCACGGGCGGTGGCTAGGCAGTCAGGGAGGCGCGTGGCTAGGAAATAAAGGGTGGCGCCGAGGGGATGGGGGGGTACAGTGAGCTGAGCCTCAGTGCTAACAGTGCGGTAGCTAGACTCGAGGCGGGCATGTGGCAGAGCAGGGGCAGGAGGAGGCAACCAGCAGAGGTAGAGGAGGGAGTGGAATAGCGAGCGATAACAACGGCTAGGTACTCTTGCACAGTGTCTATGGCCGGAAAACGGGGACGCTCGAACAACGGAAGGGTGCGACTAATAGCTAGTTGCGTAGTGGCGTCACACGATTCCCAGACAGAGCGAGCGGTCTCAGCAGTTGCGAAAGCCTCACGCTCAGTAGGCACGGCGTCGGCAGCGAGGTCAGCAGGCGCAGGAGGGCAAGGCAGCTTACTGTCGACGTAGACGGCCAAAGATTGGTCGTCCTGGCGCTGACCCCTCAGCTGGCGGCGCAGGTCGGCAAGCCACGCCTCGAGATCCACCGCGTAACCCTCGGCGTCCAGGTGGAGGACGGCGTCCACCATCGCGCACGCATGTCAGCAGAGGCGGCTGCGTCTCCCCATCAACGTCCGCACGACAGCACAGCTGCGGCAGCTGAAGGACTCAAGCAGAGGAGGAGCCAGGAGCAAGCGGGTGCGGTATAGTGCGGTGGAGAGCGGTGGAGTCCGGTGGAGGGCAGTGGAGTGCGGTCGAGTACGATGGAATGCGGCAACGCGCACGGTCGGTGAGGACGTCGGCTTAGTAGAGTGCGGGGGAGTGCGATGGAGTGCAGGGGCGCACGGCGCGTGGCCCGGCGATGAGCTGGGGCCGACGTCGAGCAGAGGTCTGGCGCGGCATCGAGCTGGGGCCGGCACGGCGTCGAGCAGAGGCCATGCGCGCGGCGAGGAGCTGGGGCCTGGTGTGTCGGCAAGCTGGGGCCTGGCGCGTTGGCGAGATGGGGTCTGGCGTGCGGCAAGCTAGTGCCCGGCGCGGCGTCGAGCGGCCAGAGAGGCGCGACGCAAAGGGCCTTGGGGGGGGGAGTTTCTAGGGGCGGCACGAAGCTAGAGTAGGTCGGCGACGGGCTAGGTGACGAGCTACGCTAGGGCGGAAGCGTGGGTGGGTGGGACCTACCTAGCGTGATACCATGTTAGAATAGTGAAGTGAACTCAAGCAAGGGATATAGGTGAGATATATGGTTTGGTGTTGTACTATCTAGGAGCACTTACCCATCTATCCTATAACTGCTCCATGTAACACATATGAGTAAGTTGACAAAATGTACACAACACGTTTCGACGCGGACAATGAACAAACCAAGCAAAGCTAGTAAGTACCTACATTGAACGAGAATCCACAACCTACTCCCAGTCCCAATCACTATAGGGACCCCTCACTCCTCCAACAAGCACCTTCCCCCAGCCTCCAGCATACACCCCATTCACGCCCCTCACTCGTTCCCTCCCTTGCCTCTCATGCTGTTGCTCCTCCTTCTCAAGCTGCGCCTGATTCCGTGAAGGCCTCTCCGGGACTTGGTCCACAGGCACCACTTGCCTCACTCCCACCCGATACTCTTGCATCATCACCTCGTCATTGGCAGCTAGGAGCGATGTGATGTGCGACTGGGAGGACTTCATCTCCTGGGAAGTGGGGGAAGTGGGGAGAGGGGGGGGGGGGAGGTGAGAGTGGGACGGGAGAGAGGGTGGCAAGGAGAAGACAAACATCAAGCGCATCAAGGACGTCATGGCCCTCAAGCCCCTCATGGCCCTCCGGCCCCTCATTGCCCTTAAGCCCCTCGTGGCCCTCAAGCCCCTCAAGCCCCTCGTGGCCCTCAAGCCCCTCAAGCCCCTCGTGGCCCTCAAGCCCCTCGTGGCTCTCATGGTCTGGTCGTTGGCAGCAAGGGAAGATGCTAAGTGATGCGCGACTAAAAAGGCTTCATTTTTTAGTTGAGTAAAAAATAATTGGCAGCGAGGAGCGATGCAAAGTGATGCGAGACCGGGGACAGGGGAAGGGGAAAGGTCGAGGAGAGGAGAAAGAGGGAGGGGGGGGGCTGTGAGAGTGTGAAGGAACTGAGAAGTGCAAGGAGAAAATTGGACACAGGCACAGAGGTCCCCATTCAACAAACAAGGCCCCCATTGCACCAACCAAGGCAATCATTCACCAGGGCACCAAGGATAAAGAAGAAACAAGCACTGACGTTCTTCTTTATTGCTAGCTAGCATTGAGTGCGAGGATTAGAAACGGGTTCTCTATGAGTATGGCCACTTTTCCCACTTTGTCAACTGCAAAGAACACAAGCGTAGACAGCAGCAGAGCAACGGGCGACAGCACTTTCAGGGTGGTGTACCTACCCCTCAGCACGGCATGGATACCAGCAGTGTTCTGTGGCACCCAAGAGGCGCAACAGAAAGAGAAGAAAATAAAAGAAATAAAGAGGAAATGAAAGAAAGAAAAGACACTCACCTCTACATTGCTACAAGCCAACTGTGCACTAACGTCAAGAGCAAGAATCAGAAATGGGTTACCAATGAGTATGCCCACTTCGTCCATGGCAAAGAACACAAACGCAGACAGCAGCGCCATGGGCGGCGTGAGCAGGCCGCATGAGTCCCAGAGGCCGCTTTTGGGTCAACTCAGAACCGACGTGTTTCGAGGCGACACACAGCAGAAACAATAAGCAGAAGAAGTGGAGGGGAATCAAGCACTCACCTCCACGTTAATGCGAGCCGACTGTGCGATGGCATCGAGCGCAAGAATGAGAAACGGGTTCTCAATCAGAATCCCCACTTCGTCCACCGCAAAGAAGACAAGCGCAGACAGCAGCGCCACAGGTGCGGTGAGCAGGCCGCACGAGTCCCAGAGGCCCAGGGGGAGGAGGAGGTGGAAGAGGAAGAGGAAGCGGCTGGTCATTGTGGTGTAGGAGAGCGGGATGGGCGTCTTGAACAGGCGCTCGCACCCGCCCACGTCGTCCGCAAAGGTGGCAAGGTTGGACTCCTGAAGTGGAGATTAGGGGGGGAAGGGGAGAGGGATGCAGAGCGGCTGTTAGTGAGCAGGCGCGTTTCGGGGCACGTCATAGGGAGACCGGCAGAGAGTGGGATGGGGGTGGTGAGCGGGCCGCATGAGTCCCAGAGGCCCAGGGGAGGAGCGGAAGAGGAAGAGGAAGGGGCTGGTCATTGCGGTGTAGGAGAGCGAGATGGGCATATTGAAGAGGCAGGGAAAGAAAGGGGGGGGGGGGATGGGGGGGGGGGAGGTGGAGGTGGCAGTGGCTCACCATGGCCTGGCGGTGCATGGGGTGCAGGGACGCGCAGCGCTGCATGGCCTCGCCCATCACCTCCAGCATGTAGTTGGGCTTGTGCACCGCTGCCAGCACACCCTGTACCTCACGCTCCCTCAGGCTTGTGTGCTCCTGGTATGGTTGGTGGAGCAATGGGGGAGGGGGAGCAGGGAGGGGAGGGTTAGCAGGGACGGGAGGGGAATGGGGGTTCAGCAAGTGACGGGGTTCAGCTGCGCATAGCGTCGCCCATCACCTGCAGCACTTTGTTGGGCCAGCAAGCTCCGCACCTCTGCCAGCAAGCCCCATACCTCCTGCTCCCGTAGGGTTGTGTGCCCCTGCTCTCGATTCTCCAATTCCCCCCCCCCCCCGACCCCTCCCCTGATCCCAATACCACCTACCCTGAGGTCGCCCTCCAGGCTGCCCTCGTCCACGAAGTGGTGTTTGCACACCAGGGGAAACGCCTGCAGGTGCCGCAGGAACTGCTCCCTAATCCTCTTGTCACGTGCCCGTGCTGCCACCCCTGCCCCTGCTCCTGCTGCTGCTGCCCCAGTCCTCTGTACAAGTGCCTTCGCTGCTCCCAACGAAATCCCTTTAGCTGCAGCATTCACTGTCCTGTTTACCCACCCGTTCAGCTGCCCATTGACCTGCCCGTTCAGCTGCCCGTTCACCACTCCATTGACCTGCCCGTCCACGTGCCCCACTGGTTTGCCATTGGACCGTTCTGCTACCATCACCGCAGTGTCCACCCTCTCCCAACCGTCAATGCGTGCGGCAGCCGAAGCAGCAACAGCACCGTTTCCATTGCCATTGGTGGTAGCACTGCCATTGGTGGTAGCACTGCCATTGGTGGTAGCACTGCCATTGGTGGTAGCACTGCCATTGGTGGTAGCACTGCCATTGGTGATAGCACTGCCATTGGTGGTAGCACTGCCATTGGTGATAGCACTGCCATTGGTGGTAGCACTGCCATTGGTGATAGCACTGCCATTGGTGGTAGCACTGCCATTGGTGGTAGCACTGCCATTGGTGATAGCACTGCCATTGGTGGTAGCACTGCCATTGGTGATAGCACTGCCATTGGTGGTAGCACTGCCATTGGTGGTAGCACTGCCATTAGTGGTAGCACTGCCTTTGGTGGTAGCAATGCCATTAGTGGTAGCACTGCCATTAACAACAGCACTGCCATTTATGGTAGCATTGGCGTAAGTGGTAGCACTGCCATAAGTGGTACCACTGCCATTAGTGGTAGCACTGCCATTACCAGTAACACTGGTAACACTCCCATTACCAGCAAACGCACCGCCATTCCCAGCAGCAGCAGCACCGCCGTTGGTGAATGCACCAAAGCTAGTGGGAGGGGGGTCTGGCACGGGCGTGTCTCGGCCCATGTAACACAGTGCTTGCCGTGCCACGTCGCGAGTGCGGTTGAGCATCAGACCCCACATCTTGCGCGCCTGATAAAGAGGAAAAAAGGCACGGATGAAGGGGGGGAAACGAGAGGGGGAGAGAGAGAGAGAAAGAGAGAGAGAGTGAGAGAGAGAGAGAGAGAGAGAGAGAGAGAGAGAGAGAGAGAGAGAGAGAGAGAGAGAGAGAGAGGGAGAGAGAGAGGGAGAGAGAGGGAGAGAGAGAGAGAGAGGAAGGATGAGAAGGAGAGTGTAGGGAGGGGGGTTGAAGGCGCGTTTTGGGACGCCTCACAACACGTCGTGAGTGCGGTTGCGCGCCAGACCCCACATCACGCGCGCCCACAAGCGAGGAGAGGAGGAAGGGAGGGGATGAGAGGGACCAGGAAGGAGGGACCAGGAAGGAGGGACCAGGAAGGAGGGAAGGGGAATCAGGCAAGGGGAATCAGGCAAGGGGAATCAGGCAAGGGGAATCAGGCAAGGGGAATCAGGCAAGGGGAATCGGGCAAGGGGAATCGGGCAAGGGGAATCGGGCAAGGGGAATCGGGCAAGGGGAATCGGGCAAGGGGAATCGGGCAAGGGGAATCAGGCAAGGGGAATCAGGGAACGGAAAGCGAGGGGTGCGGTGGGTGTGGATGTGAGTGGGGTGGGGATATAGGCCACGGTCGGCAGTCCAGGTGAGGAAGGCGGCAGGTCAGGGAGGAGTTGGAGGTGACAGGCGGAGGAAAGATAACCTATGATAGATATGCGGGTGGGAAGGGGGAAGATTGGGATGGGGAGGCAGGAAAGGACGAGGAGAAAGGAGGGGGGGAGTAAGGGAGGAGGGGGAGCGGGAAAAGGGGAGGGGAAGGGGGAGGGGGAGGAGGAGGCGGAGGAGGAGGGGGAGTTTGAGGGGAGAGGTAGATTGAGAGTGACTGCAGCATCCCACACCGTGCCACGCACCACATTCTCTGCACCACGCAGCACCACCCTTCGACCACCATCCCCTCCAGCCCCAACCCCCTCCCCCCTCCCCCCTTCCCCGCCTTGCTCACAACAATCCGTGCGCTCACCTCGTCGAACCGCCCGTAGCACGAGTTAGTGCGGAACACCAGAAGGAACGAGAGCGCGGGAATCGTTAGGCTAAACGGCAGAGCGTTCATATGCAGCACCGGTAGCACCGGCGGTAGCAGCGGCAGCTCCCCCCCCACCTCCGCCCCCCCCGCCCCGGCCCCCGTCGCCGCCGCCACTGCCGCTGCTGCGGTCGCTGCCGCCTCCCCTAGCGGCGCGATATCCGCCGCGTTCCCCGCGAGCAGCGCGTTCCAGGCGGTAAGGGCGGCGGCAACCGCGGCGACGGTGAGCGCGGGCGGCGCGACAGCGCCGACGACGTTGGAGAGCAGGATGTTGCGGAAGTGGCGCACGTGGCGGAACGAGGACGTGTGGCGCTGGGGGGAAAGGAAGGGGGGTTGGGGGAGAGCGGGAGCAGGAGCGGGAGGAGGGAGGGGGATTGGGAGGGAGGTGGGGGACCCGGATGTGGAAAAAGGGGGGAAGCGAGTGGGGAAAGAGAGGGATAATCGGGGATGGCGGGTGTGGGGCAGAGAGTGTTGTGGAAATGGCGCTGGTGGCGGAACGAGGACGCGCGGGGACGTGCTCTGGGGGAACGTGCGCGGTGAAATTAGCGCCCTGGCTAGCAGCAGCGGCGTCTTAATGGCTCACCTTCCAGTCCTCGTGCGCGAATACGACCCGCCGCTTGCGCATTGCGCGGAATCTCGTCTCGTCGAGCGCGCCTGCGTCCACCAGCATGCGCACAATAACCCCCCGCCCCCTCCCCCGCGCCTCTTCCGCTCGCCATGCGCCAATCCCGCTTCCCCCTCGCGCGGCTTTGCTCACTCCGCCGCGTGCACCCAAGCCCTCACCGGCAGAACCGCCACTGCGCAGCCCCGCGCATGACGCCGCTCCCCGCCCGCCGCTTCCGCCCACAGCCGCAAGGACGTTGCTGCGCGGAGCGGAGGAAGAGCCGTCGGTCACGGCGGTGGGTCTGCGGGGAACACGACGAAGACTCTCCGACAGAGGTGAGCCGGTCAACTCGCTAGCTCTGGAGCCCAGAGCGGGTTTCGGAGTGCCGCCACTGCCGCCATTGCCGCAAGTGCCGATAGTGCCACTAGTGTTGGCGGAAAGAAGCGGTTTGGTGTCAAGGGGGCGAGAGGAGGGGTAGGCGTGAAGGAGGGAAGAGGACGAGGAGAGAAGGAACGTTGGGGTCCATCCGCGGCGGCTAGCGGTGAGAGTGCGAGGACTGACGCCATGAGTAGTAGTAGCAGTAGCAGTAGAAGCAGTAGTTGCAGTAGTACTGGCAGGGATCGACACGGTCGCGCTCCTTGGCGAGAGAGATTTAGGGGATGATGTAAAGACACCGTGCGAGGCACGTGCGGTGCTAGGTCGGAGGCACGCGGATGGCTGCGTGAGCTGCAGGGGCCGCGAACCGAGGAGGACAGGCGCCATTTGCTGGCCGAATTTGTTCTCCTTTCACTGAATTGTGCCAGAGGTCGGGGCGCGGAGGGTACGGTACTACGCCCGATGGGTACGGTACGTGCCGAGGGAGAGGGTGAGTGACAACGCGGAGATGACGGAGCTGCTATTGATGATGGGAATGAGAATTCGTAGCTAGCTGCTGAAGAGTGCGGCGTGCTTTGACAGGCAAGGAAGCGAGGCGTATTTACAGGAAGCACCGTGCTGTGGCAGAACTTTGCGTGACGGGAGCGACTTTCGCAGCAGGACGTTCGCGGCATACGCCGACGGGGCGATTCTAGGGGGCGACGATGATACTTCGAAGAGCGACGCTAGAGGCGAGCCTAGAGGCGTCGATTCGCCGAGCTGGAGGCGAGTTAAATCGACGTTGCAAAGCGTGCCTAGAGTGGCTCTCGTGCCTCTCCGTAATCGATTGCAGACACAGCCTGGGTCGGGGAGGTGGAATGAAGACGCGCTGCGATTTTAGGGTGGAGGTTGAGAGGACAGAATGGAGGGGGGTGGATGCATGCTCTTGTGTGGGGAAGGGCGTTTCAAACTTAGTGAACACCCTGGCTATAAAGTCGTGGGTAACTCGATAATGGGGTTTAACACGCACCGTCCTCAATATTTGCACCCCGGATAGTCAGGACGTCAGACAAGCCTACACTGGTAAGATTTGGAGAACACGGCAGCTTAGTTCGGTGAAAGACGCGATCAAATAAATCAGGTGCAATAGTGTAATTCCCACACTCAGGACTATTGCATGCTTCGAGACTAAATTGTCAGCTGTACAGTAACTGCCCCTGTAATTCCCTGCCTCCTGGATCCAGTAATGAATGTGGATGGAAAGGCGAAGCGCCGCGAGATTCAGCGCAGTGACCGAAGCGCTTCAAGCATGTACTCAAGCGCAACTGGTGGAAAATAATTGGCTGAGACTTTGGAAGGAATGTATACAATTGGTTGCAGACAAGACTTCCAATTTGTAAACCAATCAGACGAGGTCCAGACTGGGCAGGGACGGTGCGTGGACCTAGAACACAGATGTCCATGTGGCAGATGGTGGTAAGGAAAATCCTCGATGCACGCCTTTTCCATTTCATGAATGACGCCGTAGTAGAGCGTCAGATTACTAAAAGCAATAGCACTATATAGCTCATAGAATATATCACCAAATTTAGAATATTTGATGGCGTGATCAATATAAAATTGAAATACCTAATATACCGATCATTTTAATTCCTAAAAAATCACCTCAATGTGCAATTGAAATTCATTAAAAAAAAATGTTCTAGGGAGTTGCTCTGCTACGTATGTAGGAAAGAGGGTTTAGGGCGTGTCTAGCTCGCTCGTTTACTATTCACTTTGCGGATCAGGTACAGAATTTTTTCCTGGTAACCCGAAATTTCGTGTCCATTCGGACACGCACGATAAATTGACGGTTTCGGCAGACACCTTCCAGACGTGCCCACAGACGTGGGCCACACGTTTCCGAACCGAATGAAAATCGTGCGCAAATTATGTACACGGCAGGAATGTCCAAATCCTGGCTGGCGAAAAATAGAAAGCTTACTTTCGCCAGGATTTCGTGACGCTTGCGAAGCACGGCGAAAAAGCGGAAGAAGAATTGGAGTTGCATGCGCGACTCGACTTGCCTGCATAAAACATATTCAAGCGGGCGGGGCCTCTTTCCCGGGGCGAATTTCGGTTACCCTGATGTTTTCGCGTGTCAGTCTGTCATTTGCGCGCTGCGCACCCGCTCATCTGTCGAGCCACGGGCGGGACTCGTGTCCACTCGTGTCCCAGCGTTTTGCTGTTGATACAGTAGGTGTACCTCAACACATTCACACTTGGCGAATCAATATTTCTGCGTGTGAAAAAAAACGTCAAAAATCCGACTTGGGGCAAAATGAACGCGCTGGACACGCCCTTAGCTAGGTAGAAAGAAGTAAGCGAGAGAAAAGAGGGTAGACTAGAGAAGAGAGAGAGATGCAAGAAGTGGGTTGTTTTCTCTACAGTAAGAGAGATACAGCACCGACCTAGCCTAGACACACATATACATACATACACACACACACACACACACACACACACACACACACACACACACACACACACACACACACACACACACACACACACACACACACACACACACACACACACACACACACACACACACACACACACACACACACACACACACACACACACACACACACACACACACACACACACACACACACACACACACACACACACACACACACACACACACACACACACACACACACACACACACACACACACACACACACACACACACACACACACACACACACACACACACACACAAACACACACACACACACACACACACACACACACACACACACACACACACACACACACACACACACACACACACACACACACACACACACACACACACACACACACACACACACACACACACACACACACACACACACACACACACACACACACACACACACACACACACACACACACACACACACAACACACACACACACACACACACACACACACACACACACACACACACACACACACACACACACACACACACACACACACACACACACACACACACACACACATACACACACACACACACACACACACACACACACATACACACACACACACACACACACACACACACACACACACACACACACACACACACACACACACACACACACACACACACACACACACACACACACACATACACACACACACACACACACACACACACACACACACACACACACACACATACATACACACACACATATGTATACATATATATACGTTGACACACCCCCTAGGTTTGGTAGGCGCTACTCACAGAGGCAAGAGCCAGGGAAGCACTACTAGTCTGTCCACTGGTATGAGTAATAAGGGAATTGCACACCACACACCCAACACCTCTAAGCCCAGCACCCCCATACCCAGCAGCCGCTGTGGGATTCTATAGCGGGTCGACCCCTCGGCGTGCGAGGCGGCGACGTCAGCGGCGGGGGCAGCGGCGGCGGCGGCAGCAATGACGGCGGCGGCAACGGCTACGGAGGGCAGCGGCGGAGCCAGCGGCACCTACGACGATGGCGGCGCCGGCGACGACGGCGGCAGCGGCAGCGCCTGAGACACCCGGCGGCGTGGCACGGCTTTTCGACAACGGGGGAGGACAGCACAGAGACGTCCAGCAGCTTCGGTGGGGAGGAGGAGGGAATGTTAGAATACGAGAAAATGACTAGAACAAGAGAATACAGGGGAGATATAGGGTTGGAGTTGTACTCTCTAAGAACACAAATCTATCTAGCCTATAACTTCTACGTATAACCATATGTATAGTTTGACACACCCCTAGGCTAGATATGGGCAGTATAGATCAAGGAACACGCAGCCCAGAGAGGCACTACTAGTCCAACCTCTGAGGTAAGCGTCCAAAGACCAGTCAGCAAGAGTACAAACAAGACGAGCAAACCAGGGCGGCACTACTAGTCCAACCACATGAAGAGAAGCCATAAGGCCAGTCTGAAAGGTATATGTATACAGAGGAGTACACAATCAAGGTCCTAGCAAATGAGAGTCTACAGGAACTAGACCAAGCTACAAGCTGTGCCCCTGATGATCTTTAGGCCAAAGCGCCTCATAAAAGATATCAGCTGTGTTGGCACCGGAGGCCAAGTGTACTACGTGGGCTTGGCGACGCTGCTGTAGCTCACGCAGGAAGAAGTACCGCAGCTGGATGTGCTTCGCTCAGCCCTCAAGTCGAGGCTCCTGACACAGGAGGATCATGGCCCTATTGCCAGCGTACAGGGTGCTAGGCCGCTCACCTAAGTCCATGAGCAAGAAGGTCAGCTAGCGGAGCTCCTGTGCCGCCATGGCACCAGCGTAGATCTCAGCCTCACAGCTAGACTGGGCAAAAGAAGAGGAGCGAGTGGACCTCCACGAGATGGCACCCGAACCGCGGCTAATGCAGTAGCCCTGGGAGGACCTGAGGGTCTCAGCGTCGTCTGCCCACCAAGCGTCTGTGTGCCCAGTAAGGACCACTGTCCTGCGTTCTCCCAGCACTAGCCCCATGCCCGATGTACTTGCTAGATAACGCAAAACCCTCTTAGCGGCAGACCAGTGCTATGGTCGGTGTCTGCGTGTGGCCACAAAGCGAGCCAGGATGCTGAGAGGGTATGCGAGATCAGGACAAGTGCAAGTCAACAGGTATATGAGGCAACCCACCAGCTCTGTGTAAGGACCACTGGGCTCTACTGACTCCTCAGGTACTGGAGCTGAGAGCATGCGGTCTAATGGCAGAGGTGTGGGCTGTGCTGGGGAGAAGTGAAGACCGAACCTCTGAAAGACCTGGCACACCAAGTGTGACTGGGTGAGAGTGATGGTGTGCGCTGCTTTGTCCCTGGAGATCTGCAGGCCAAGGTAGCGGTGCAACTCTCCTAGGTCAGAGCAGGTGTGTCTCCTCAGCAGCTCGGCCTTCACAAAGGTGAGCGCGCCTCTGTCTGCAGTAGCGAAGATCGGGTAATCTATGTAGACAAGGATGTAGAATGGAGTCTGGCCAGCACGAACAAAGAGCGAGGGGTCTGCAGAGGATGGAAAGAACTGCAGGTTAGCTAGCGTAGCATGCAGCATTTCGTGCCACTCACAGGGCGCCTGCCGTAGACCGTGCGCCGGAGAAGCCACTGGGTCCCAGTAGGGAAGGTATCGGTGAAGCCCTAAGGACGGCGCAGGTAGACCTGCTCGTGTAGGCTGCCCTGAAGAAAAGCAAATGAGAAGTCGAGGGAGTGCAGCTCGTGGTCACACTGTGGTGCTACGTGTAGCAGCACCTGAAGAGTAGTCATCTTTGCGGTCGGGGTGAAGGTCTGAGAGAAGTCCACCCCTCCTCACTGACTAAAGCCTCTAGCCACGTAGCGTACCTTGAACACATGCAGCTCTCCAGGGCTCTCCAGGGGGGCGCTTCACCTTGAAGAGCCACCGGCCATCGACTACGTTCACCCAGGTGGGGGAACTGCGTCGACGTAGGTGTTAATGGATCTCTAAGATGCCATCTCCTGCTCCATGGCAGCTATCCACTAAGAGGCCCAGGGTCCCGAGGTCGCCTCAGCGTAAGTGCGAGGGGTCAGGATGTCAAAGGCATCTAGGTCACCCTCAGGGACTAGCAGCATGGGGAGCAGCCTCTGATAGGAAAGCGAGCTCGTACTCCCTATCCTCTAGGATGTCACTGCCAAGGGCAGGAGCACCCCCGAAAGACAAAGGACAGACAGTGTCAGAGATCAGAGCGGTGGCGTAGTCCAGGCGGTGGGTAGAGGCAAAGTCAGTGACAATAGCTACAAGAGCGTCAAGATTCGAGACAGGAATAGACGGGTCGGTAACGAGGGAGGCAATGACC